GGGGGGTAGATGGGATCTTGGGTAGAGGTAGGTCAAGAGGGGACGAGGTCGATTAGGATGTGAAAACTTCTTGAATTTTCTCTCTCCCCCTTTCCCCCTTTGTCTCTCCCTCTCTCTCTCTTCCCCCATGCTTCCAAACTCTTTAGCCCTTACCTCTTCCTCACTCCTTCCTTTCCATGGCACTTAACTGACCTCTACCCTCACCTGTTACATTGCCAGGGGACGAACAGTAACAAACTTGATCGTCACTTGGTGGAAAGAGTTGGCAAGGGGAGGGCAGCCGGTCCCTTGTGCCACCAAGAAGGAAAAGCGCCTGAATGCTGTGGACATTGGATAAAGCGGAAAGGAGTGTTTTTTTGTGTAACAAGGTCAGTCTGACTCAACCATCTCCCCCGACTACATGACTAAGGTGAATGCATGGTTTTGCTTGTGGGAAGGACGGGACAACCAAAGGATCATCGAAGAGCAAAGGAAGCTTAGGCTCTGGGAGGGACGGTGTGTTGACCCCAACGGGGATTGTATTTGGTTCATGCTTCGTGTGGTGTTGTTCAGGTGAGTAGCTTGGGGATGGGTGTTGAGCGGGACTGGATTCACCGGGAGGCCGACAAGGGAAAAACTTGGGCTTCGGGCGGGCCACGGATGTGGGAGGGACTTGAGGATTGAAAGCATGACTGCATGGTAGACCATGGGGTGTGACATTGTGTGTTGATTGAATACAAGGACTCTCTTGAATGCAGTGTGCGCCCGAAAGGACTAAAGGCGGTCTTGGATAGGTGAATGCGATACTCGAGCAAAAAAAAAAAATATTGGCTAGGGGTTCGGGCGGTGCCACTCCACCCCGGGATGCCGCAGGGGCGGTCTTGAGTCGCTAGGCTTAGTGAAAAGGTGTGTGGTCCAAGGGATGATGCTTGGCCTACACACGAAATGAAGGTAAACTCTCGATGAATTCCCTGGACTGCCTGCGTATTGGAAGGAGCAATTGTCTGGCCAGACTTAACTGAATCGAGAAAACGCCACGAGTGCCAAAGAGCTACCATCTTGACGCGAGAGCGGAGCTACATCCCCCAATGTAAAGCCCTCTCGCAACTGGCCCACCCCCATCCATCTCAAAGCACTAGGTGGGGGTGCCCCTGGGACGAACGACCCGCGCCTTGAGCGTGAGCGTGGGCGGGTTGAGCCAAGTGGGACCCGCAGTGGGGTCGACCAAGGCTCGAAAGTCCTTCAGGGTGCGGCCCCTACACCGGGACACGCACTCCAACAATTTTTCAAATTGCAGGCGAGAAACCAGAAAAGGGGGTAGAAATATTATCAGCACACTCTACAGAAGGAGGCTGAACAAGTGCAGGTCCTTTACCGGACTCTCATCCCACTCAACAATCTTCTCTTGAGACCCCATCTGATGTTGATCCCGAAACTAAAAAATTGCATATCCTCTACAAGGAGCTGTGGTTGGAGTCGGAAGAGCTTAACTTTCATGCTCACTTGTTGCGCCGGGCTCACATGAAGCAAGAGCACGCGTAGGGGAAAACGAATTTGATCTTCTTAAAACTCTGCATTAACGGCCGATGCATCTGTGCGTTGGGTGATTGTAGCACAACTGCCAACTACTCACCGCACGAGATTAGTACGGCACGCTTGGAAATGAAGCAAGTGGCTTTGCAGAATCCTTGTCGGACGCAGGTGGGCAACCACGAGGCTGTCACATCTACGTGTGCAGTCAAAGGTGTGCGCACTACCTTTGATGCAGACCGCACAATCACACATGAGCTGAACTTCTATGTCCTATATAAGTGCCCCTTCGTCGCGGTTCTTGGCTTCGGCTGGTTGTTGGCCCGATGCGAAAGAACCATATGGAAGGACTCATAATTCATAGTCAAAGATGCCATGGGGATCGAGGGTCCAGTCCTCTTGGACGAATCACGCGAGTCCCAAATGACTTTTCTCAACGCAACGAAATTATGCAAGAAGTGGTGCAGGCGCAGAGTTGATGAGCAAATGTATATAGCCTTTGTTACGCCTGCTCATGTGCTTTCTATTTTGGTTGTACATAATGGTTCTACTTTGCATGTTGTTTCCACTTCCAATGCAACGATTTCTACCTCTACTGAATCTACTTCTAGTCTAAACAGATCTACTTCAAATCCTATTTTTTTGGCTGCACCTACGCAGTCCGATAAACTTGCACCAGATTCTGATTCTTTACCTCCAAAGATTCCATCAGAGATCTGCAGTCTTCTCAACCGATTCCCTGAATTTTTGGCCGAACCATGTGGAGTTCCCGTGCGTGAACTGGGCGCCGCCCAATTGCTCGAGAAGGTCGTCGATGCGTGGGAGAGGGTCGGCGTTCCTGATCGTCTGCTCGTTGAGCTTGCGATAATTGATGCACAAACGCAGGTCCTTGTTCTTCTTCTGGACGAAGAGAACAGGAGCAGCGTATGGCGATGAGCTAGGCCGAATCCAGCCTTTCTCYAKRAGGTCGTSGAGTTGTGCMCGAAGCACACTTAACTCTTCCTCGCTCATTCGGTAGATGCAACCGCGCGGAGGTACGGCCCCGTCCTCGAGGATGATCTCGTGGCGGATGGGTCGATCCGGTACTACTCCGTGCGGGCCTTCGAACAAGTCGCTGTAGGCGTCGAGAAGCTCGGTGATGCGTGGATCCGAAGGTGAGTCCGTCGATGAAGCGTCATGGGGTGGGAGGGCGTGGAGAAAACACACCCCCATCTCCTCGATGTCGTCTCTGATGATGGAAGCTCGCATGCTTGCTGCGGATACCATGTGGCAGCTGATCGAAGGATGAGGAAGAGCCACCGTGCATGAAACTAGTACTCCGTTCCGATCACGAAYGTGAACGGTGCGGYGGWAGAAGTTCACCGGGTGATCCTCGCTTCACAGCCATGACATGCCCAAGATCATGTCGAATTTGGTGTCCAGAATGTCAAAGGACACCGCCTCACTTGCATGAGGGGCAAAGTACACTGGGACGTTGTCAATGCATCGGTCGATTGACTTGTGCGTGTGACCGTCCGCCAATGTGACTTGCGTAGGCTGGGGCTTGCTCCGGACGCGTGGGCCAAGGCCGGCCCGCACCATGAAGTCCTGGTTGATGTAGTTCCGAGATGCTCCGCAATCGATCAAGGCACTGCAGGTCGCCTCTCCAATCTGAATGCGTATGTATAGCAATGGTGCGTCAATGTCGTCGTACCGTTGCGCCTTGAACTTGTGGTCGATCTTCGCGATGTAAGTGTGAAGGTCGACAACCTCTGCTCCGGCGTCCATCAACGGAGCTGGTACTGCAGTGTGCAAGTAATCCCGCAATTGTGCCATGAGCACGTTGCAATGCGGTTTCGACAATCGTCCGGTCGAGGGAACGGGCATCCACTGGAAGTACGTGAACGTCAATGGGTCGAGCTCTTCAAGTCTTGACCATGACGTCGAATCCCTGGCGATAGATTGCGGCGAAGCTGCCGAATCGGCTGCCGATGGTGATGAAACCGTGCATGCGATGGATTGTTGCACGTGGAGCGGTTGGTCCAGCGGTGGAACCAAGTGGACAGCATAGTCCTCGTAAGTGTAACGAGAACTTGCGACATTCGCGTTCTCCTCAGATGTGCAAGAGGCCGCTAGCAAGGCGGCCGAATCTGGCGGAGTAGAAGGTGGAGTCGCCTCACCTTCCGCGGAGCTCAGTTTCCCGAGCTGAGGCGGGGTCGCACATCCTCCTTGCCCTGATCCTGGCAAAGGGAGGTCTTGTGCTTGGTGCTGTTGCACCAATAGCAGCTACCGTAGCGGCCGCGGACCTTGTACTCCGCCTCGGTCAAGCCGAACTTGACCCATGGAACTTGTACTAGCTGTCCATTTCGTGCCTGCCATGCGGATTTCGCCTTCCCATTGTTGCGGGACTTGTTGTTGCTTCGCGGCTGGACAGCAGCCACCTGATCTCCGTCACTTGATGCTGCAGTGGCTGCTGGGTTATCTCCACTGTCCGACTGGACTGCAGCGAAGTGCTGCTGTCGTGGACTAGTTCGTACCTTCTCCACATAGGTCGGCTGCCATGTTGACCTCTCGTGTGCAGCTGACCTGTTGGTCTTGATGATCTCTCTCGCCTTGTCGATAATCTCGGCGAAAGTGCCCCTCCCCATCCCGACCCCCCGACCGTCTCCCCATCCCGACACTCCGACCATATCCCCGTTCCGACTTCCTCCCCTCTCCTCACCATCTCGATTCCCCCCCTCCCCATCCCGAGCTTCCGACCATCCCGACCACCGGATCCCTCCCTCGCATTGCGATCTCGTCGCCCCATCCCGATTCCTCCCTTTCTCCATCCCGCCTCCCCTCCGCATCCCGACTTCCCCCTCGCCATCCGCCCAGTGATTTCCCCCCTCCTCATCCCGACCCCCCGACCATCTCCCCATCCCGACACTCCGACTATCTTCCCGTTCTGACTTCCTCCCCTCTCTTCACCATCCCGATTCCCCCCCTCCCCATCCCGACCCTCCAACCATTCCGACCATTGGACCCCTCCCTCGCATCCCGATCTAGTCGCCCCATCCCGATTCCTCCCTTTCTCCATCCCGACCTCGTCGCCCCCTCCCCCACATCCCGACCTCGTCGCTCCATCCCGATTTCTCCCCTGCTCCATCCCGGCCTCGTCGCCCCCCCCTCCC